TCCCGCCGCTCCACGTTTTTGGAGCGTCGGATCTCTGGGGAAGGGGAGGAGGCAGATCCCTTGGAGCTACTGCGACAGCAACTCGGGGACTGTCCAGATCTCGAGGCGCTGCGCAACAAGGCGGAGGCTCTCAGTGCCCCAGCCATCCCAAAGACGGCCCCCGCTGCTCGAAGAGGAAGTGGCTTCCAAGGGCACGGCATGTCGCAAGCAGCAGGCCCCGCTCGGCAAGTCTTTGCGCCGTTTCGAGGCGGCGGAGAGTGGCTACACAAGTGCAAGGACGGGGCGTTGCCTGATCACTTTCTTTCCATATGGGCATTTGCACCTCGAAAATAAATCCGTCTTGTGATTCGCCTTCCTTCTGCAGATTCAAACCTCGAAAATCCATCGAAACGGTATTTCAGACTTCACCCGTTGCCCTCCACCCAGCGAAACTGCTCGGATTGCAGGCAGGGTAAGGACGTGGTCGTGGCCAGGATGGAATGGGAAGCGGCCTGCGGCAAGCCTCGGCCAGCGCAGGCTCCACGCCGGACCTGTCGGCGACCCTGCGAGGCAGAGGGGCGGAGGCCCACCTCGGTGGAGGGCGAGCGCTTCTCACTGGAGGGCCTGGAGGTCTCGGGGAAGGAGCTCAAGCCGGCGGCGAGCGAGGGGGGGAAGTGAGAAGGGGCGTGAGTCCCCTGGTCCTCCGAGGAGTACTCTGGGTCTTCCCCGAAGACGCAGAGAGCTTCTCGGATCGCGCGAGGGCCTCCGAGAATCCCCGCCGCCTTCTGAGAAGGCCCTCTCCTTCTCGCTTCCCCCCATCGCTCGCCGCCGACTTGGCCAGGTCGGTCACACAGGAGGTCGCTAACGTGCCGGGCCCGACTGCAAGAGGGTCTCGCGGCTCTGCGCCAAGAGGCAAAGATGATGCGTGGCCGCCTCCGCAGCAGGCGCAGCAAGGGGTCCAGAAGGCACGGGCCGAGCGTCGGGCGGCTCGGCTGGAGCCAGCGACTCAGGAGCTTCAGGACACGCTTCCCTCAGCCTCCTCCTCCTCCTCCTCCTCCTCCTCCTCCTCCTCTTACGGGGCACCTTCGCCTCCAGAATGAGCAGCAGCACCGACTCCGACCGATGACGGCAGTGGCGGAGCTTCGGATGTGGAGCGTCAATCTGCCCACGCTGCACCCGGTCCTGCTGAGGATGATCCTGCAGTCACCCAGCTCTTGGAACACGCCGAGGCCAAAGCAAAGGCCACTCTGGAGGCCAAGAAGGCAGCCAACGAGTCAGGTTTCTCTGGCCAGAGGAGAAACAGGGTGGCAAATTACTTCCAATCGCACGCTGAAAGATCCCAATCTTGGGGATCAGTCGTTTCCGCATCATGACAGGCCGCCCCAGAACCCCGACGATGCGTCAAGGGGGGTCCGACGGTGCGTGCAGGGACAGCGTCTGTCCGTCCTCCAGCGTCGCCTGCGCGAAGATGCGGCGCTGCCGATCCAGGGGATGCCCACCACTTCCTGGGACTGACGTGTGCTTAATCATGCTCTCCAGGGGACTATACAGCCAACACTTCTTTTCTGGGGTCCATACATCCTCCAACACCACAATTTGCACTCCAGCGTCTTGCAAAAACAAATTCGGACGAGACAATGTGACCCCGCTCCTGGCGCACCGCCTCAACATTGCTCTCCGTCTGGTCCGACACTGCCGCGTCCAGCCGACGGCGCAGCAAGGGAGCCCGTCGAAACTGTAACAAGCCTTCTCGGGAAGCCTGAAAATTCCTGTCCAAAACCCTCGCTCTCCTCTTTGGTTTCGTTTGCGATCGGGAGCAGCCAATCGCAAAAAAGGCCACCATCACGCTCATCACACTTGGAAACGATAATCGTAAAAATGCTTGGTATTTCGGGGGCGTCTCGAGCAACCTTGTAATGATTGATACATACATGTACACGTACATAAGCATAAAGTTGAATGCTTGTATATTTGACTGCACATACGACTGTACATATCGATATACATATATATATATATACATATACATGTACATACACATATACATATACATACACATATAAAGTCAAACATACATATGCATATACATATGCACGTACATAATCATATATATATATATAAAAATACGTATACGCATACAGATCCTGCACATATACATGTACATGGACACGCACATATACCTACATATGCATATGCATACATGCATACACCGTAAACATATGTTTACAAATACATATACGTATACATATATACATGAACTTATACATCGAAACAGACATGAGCATATACATGTTCACTGGTGTAATCGACTAACTATGCTTGTACATGTTTATACACACCAGCGTGCACGTATACGTATGCATACACCTATGTATGTACATGTGCATATACACATATATATATATATACGAATGCCGATACCACATACACCTATGTATATATATATACGCATATATATATATACACATGTTCATATACAGATGCAAGCACATAGTGTAATATATATGTCAAGACGAATACACATACACATGTACATGATACATGCAGATAAACACATATATAGATACACCTTTATACATGCACATACACTTGCGTGTACATATACATACATATATACAAATACATATACAAGCACAGAGCACGATAATTCGCATATACCTGCCAAACTACATGTACATACACATTCGCAGATGCATGCGTACGCATATACGTAGACAGACACACACCTGAATGTACGGATACGTACACATGTACAGACTCGTGTACGACTACATACACGCAAACGTGCGCATAATCAGATATGCAAATGAAATGCACATACATATACATATACATATACGTACACGTACCCATAAGGTATATATAGATACGTAAACGTATGCATTCACAGATGCATTACACATATATGTATTATTGCACATACTTCTACGTATACCAGAGCATATACCTACACATGTACACAAATATATACAATGTACATTCACATATGTAGTTACGCATACACGCCTAGATATACATATATATATATACACATTTACATATGCATATGCAAATGCACATGCACATACACATAAATGAGCGTATGCATATGCAGTGAAACGTCGTATTCGCGTGCATTTGTGGCTACGTATACACAAACAGATATATGTATGTAGTTTAGGTGTTATGAATGTTACGTGTGTACGTATTTACGTATGTATGTATATGTATATGTTTGCATGTATGTATTGGGGGCAGAAGAAAACGATCACTGACCCGTACACCTGCGGACATCGTGCCATTTGAGTCTGTCGCGGGCGGCAGGTATGGAGGTGAGCCTGGACGCCGCGACGGATGACCATGTATACTCTATCCGGCGCTTGAGCCGCCAACTCCATTTAGTGGAAGGAATGGGCCGCCAACTCAATCTTAGTGAAAAGATTCGGCCGTCAACTCCAGATTGACAAACCGATTTGATGGTGTCCTTCCGAATTGACGAACCCCCATTGACGGCCTCTGTCCGAGTTGACGAACGCCCTTGACGGCCCCCTCCAAGTTGACGAACCCCCTTGACGGCCTCCCTCTGGAGTGACGAGCCCCCGTGACAGCCTCCCTCCGAATTGATGAACGCCTTGGCGGCCCCCCTCGCCGCCCCCTCCGTCTTGACGAACAAAGCGCCGACCCGGGTCTTGACGAACACAGTGTGGGGGCCGATTTGGCGACTCCTCTCGTCTTGACGAACGAAGTGTTGGAGCTGAATTGACGACTGCCTTCGCCTTGACGAACGTAGTCTTGGGGCCGAGTTGATGACTGTTGTGGGCTCTTCTCCAGACATGCGCCGTCCCAGTCATTAAGATGGACTCAACATGCCACCATGAGGAACGCGGAGGAAGGAACGACGAGGCGTTCGAGGCCACGGTAAGCCTCGGCCACGAACATGTTCCCCGATCTTGGTCAGGGGATGGCTCGACAAGAGCCACAAGCGTTTTTTGTTCAGCGCCTTACTTGCACTCAAACCCGCTTCCCCATCCTCGCCCTCACCCCGTCCTGGTGCACATGGGTCGTCGCACGCCTGCGCCAGGCCGCTGCAAGCGCCACGTGCACCTGCCAAAGCGGGGGGGAACACAGCCCCTGGTTCGACACCCTAGGCAAAGGAGAGGAAAAGGAGGAGGAGGAGGAGGAGGAGGAGGAAAAGGAGGAGGAGGAGGAGGAGGAGGAGGAGGAGGAAGGGGAGGAAGGAGGAGAGGGAGGAGGAGGGGGAGGGGGAGGGGGGGGAGGGGGGGGAGGAGACGAGGAAGAGGAGGAGGAGGAGGAGGAGGGGGAGAGGGGGAAGAGGGGAAGGAGGAGGAGGCGTCTGCCGGTCTGTCTTCCCCACGCGAGCGAAATTATTCAAACTGAACTCACATATAAAACTCTGGGCCCTGGGCCTAGACTGTTGTAGCCGATATCATCCAGAAGGGACGCGCACGCTCCCAAAAGTACCCGTGAAAAATTACAGTTTGCTGGCTCGGGGCCCTGGGGGCGGTGGAACGGCGACCAGCGCTTCGCTGGCTCGCCCCACGCGGGGCAGACCTCCTGGCCGTGGAAAGGGCGGCGACCATTGCAGCCTTGGCCGACGGGGACACAAGGGCCATCAACCTCGACCAAAGCAGAATGGCCTTCAACCTTTCCCCCGCCACACTACACAGATCTACGGATCATTTTTGACCAGCTAGCTAGCTTGCCTTTCCGGGCCCAACCTGGTTTGTTGTTAAAGCCTGCACCCCGGAACAAATGATACAAATCGTGCTCTACAGTTATAACTTTCACAGTGTTCATATCCGACCTCGTAGTCAAGGAGGAGAACGAACGACGCGCGCCGCGGCCTTCTCATTTCCCCCATCCTCGGCACCCTCGTCGGCGAGCAGTTCCCACAGGCTCTGCAGCCCCTGCAGCAGCGTCTACATGTGGGGCTGCACGGCGATCGTGATAGAGCCGGGGACCTTGACCGTGATCCTCGAGATGTCGTTGTCCCGGGTCTTCGATGTGCTGCGCTCCTTGATCTAAAGACTGGCCTGCTGCATGTCCGACTTCTGCAGCATCAACAGCAGATGCTCTGGAATCTCCTTGAGCTGCTTGACCGAATTTTGAGCTCCGCTCTGCTGCTCGAACCACGCGCTGAAACCGCTCAAAAGTGCTGCTAAACTCTGCAATTTTGGTGGGCCCAGACCATGAGCGTTGGCCTTGCCCGGTACTTGCTTCTGGTAGGTGTTGCACGTCGCCTTCAGCATGCCCACGAGGTTCGAGTCGCTGGGGCCGTGCACCGCTAGACCTGCTCCGAATATTAGCGTCCGCATCCGTGACTCCAATTGACGTAATAGTTTCGCATTGACGTGCCCCTCTTCTGGCTGGTCCCCCCTGCCTTTCTTGCTGTCGGGCGCTGTCTCTGCTGCCTCGGGTCCTCGCCTGAGAGGTGACGGCATGATCAAATCCGACATTTTCCTGCTCGATGGCCTCCGCGAGGCCTGGAAGCGCAAAATCTAGCACTTGCGAAAACAAGTGTGGCTGAAGATGCTCGAGAAGTATATGTCCACGGATATCATCATTGTCGAGTGCGACGTATGCACAAGCAGGGCATTCGTACGATCTCGGCTGCATGATGGCTCCGTCAGTTCGCCCCGTATCTACATAACATAGCCCGCGAATCAGACTCTTGCTCATGCACCTCTTAGCGTAGTCCATCGACGAGATACTCGAACCGCAAATCACGCACTGACTGGAGAAACAACATCGCATCCCCGAAAGCTGCTTGCCATGCGTGCACGTGTCATCGATTAGCGCGCTGCTGATTCTTATTCCCCAACCATCCTGTGGTGTTGGGTCCTCGTTTTGAAGAAACGGCCCCCGCGCCTCCTTCTCCTCGTTTCGTGCCCCCACCCCCACCCCACCCCCCACCACCCCCCCACACCCCACCCCCCCGCCCACCCCCCCACCCACCCCACCCCCCAAGTGAGGGTACCACATGCGTTTGCCACACCCAGTACAGCGCTTCGTGGCCCCATGGGGAGCTCCGCCGAAGGTCCCAGGGGGGGGGGGGGGTACCACATGCGCTTGCCACACCCAGCACAGCGCTTCGTGGCCCCATAGGTAGCCCCACCGAAGGCCCAGGGGGGGGACCATCAGTACGGCGCTTCGCGGCCCCATAAGGAGCTCCACCTAAAGCCCCAGAGGGGGGGGAGGGGGGCGCACATGCGTCTGCCACACCCAGCACAGCGCTTCGTGGCCCCATGGGGGGCTCCACCGAAGGCCCCAGGGGGGGTGCAATACAGCGCTTCGCGGCCCCATAGGGAGGCCCATATCAGGCCCCATAAGGGGGGGTACCACATGCGTCTGCCACACCCAGATCAACGCTTTGTGGCCCCGTAGGGAGCTCCACGTAAGGCTTCAGAGGGGGGGGGGTACCACATGCGTCTGCCACACCCACCACAGCGCTTCGCGGTCCCAACTGGGAGGGAACTCCACCGAAGGCCCCAGTGGTGGTACCACATGCGTCCGCCACACCCAGTACAGCGTTTTGTCGCCCCACAGGGAGATCCACCGAAGGCCCCAGTGGGGGTACCACATGCGTTCGCCACACCCAGTACAGCGCTTCGGGGCCCCATAGGGAGCTCCACCGAAAGCCCCAGGGGGGGTGGCCATATGCGTCCGCCACACCCAATACAACGTTTTGTGGCCCCATAGGGAGCTCCATCTGAGGCCCCAACGGAGGTGGCCACATGCGTCCGCCACAACCAGTACAGCGTTTCGTGGCCAGTGGGGCCGTCCGCATGCGTCCCCCACGCGCACTTCCCGGCATGTTCTCAAACTGTGTTCTGCGTTTCTGGGCCCCACAGAGAGCTCCACCGAAGCGCTCAGAGGGACCGCCCGCATGCGTCCCGCACACGCAACTGGACGTTTTCGCCTACCCAGTACAGCGTTTCGCGGCCCAAGCTGGGAGCTCCACCGAAGGCCCAGTGGGACCGCCCGCGTGAGTCCCACACACCCAATTTGGCTGTTTCAGTCACCCAATACAACGTTTCGTGGCCGCATACAGCGCTTCGTGGCCCCGCAGGGAGCTCCACCGAAACCCTCAGTGGGACCGTCCGCATGCGCCCCAGAAGCCCAATTTGGCATTTTCACCCACCCAGTACAACGAATCGTGGCCACATAGGGAACTCCACCGAAGACCCTGGTGGGACCGTCCGCATGCGTCCCGAGAGCCAAATTTGGCACTTTCACTTATCTGGTACAGCGCTTCGTGGCTCCATAAGGAGCTCCACCGAAGCCCTCACTGGGACCGCCCGCATGCGTCCCGCATACGCAATCTCACATTTTCACCCACCCAGTACAGCGCTTCGTGGCCCCATTGGGAGCTCCACCGAAGCCCCCAGTGGGACCGCCCACATGCGTCCCACACACCCGATTTGGTAGTTTCACCAACCCAGTACAGCGCTTCGTGGCCCCAAGCTCCACCGAAGCCCCTAGCGGGACCGTGCGAATGCGTCCCGCACACCGAATTTGACATTTTCGCTCACCCAGTATAGCGTTGGGTGGCCCTAGTAGCAGCTCCACCGAAGCTCCCAGTGGGAGCGCCCGCATGCGTCCCGGAAGCTCAATTTGGCATTTTCACCCACCCAGTACAGCGATTCGTGGCCCCATAGGAAGCTCCACCGAAGCCCCCAGTGGGACCGTCCGAATGCGCCCTGGAAACCCAATTGGGCAGTTTCACCCACCCAGTGCAGCGCTTCGTGGCCCCATAGGGAGCTCCACCGAAGCCCCTAGCGGGACCGTCCGCATGCGCCCCACACACCCAATTTGGCATGTGAGCTCCACCGACAGCCCCAGAGCTACCGCCCGCACGCGCTCCCTCCCACCCAGTGCAGCGCTTCGTTGCCCCATAGGGAGCTTCACCGAAGAAGATCTTCACACTTGCGGTACCCACAACTGCAGATGGTTGGATCCTTCGTCAGGATATGTTTTGTAACAAACCTGTCATTGCCATGTTTCTCCATCTGCTGGTCGCGCTTTGCAGCGGTGAGGTCCTGCTTTATCTAGCTCCTCTCGTTCGCGCTCGTGTTGTTTGATGTTGGCGGAATAGTGTGTGTCGATCCCTCCCGCGTCCAGTTTAATGAAATCCTCATTCCCCTCGAATAGTATCCCTCCGCTCCACGTATTTCTCATAGCCTCGCACCGTCATCGAATAACTCAATGGCTTTGATGTCATCTAAGAGCTTCTCGCACCAGGGGTTCGTTCCGTCGTCGTCGCTCGCGCATCTCTCGATGTCGGCGCATTCGTCGTCCCGGAAGCGCCCGAAAAGCACCGCTGGAAACAGAGCGAACCCTGCGCGGCGCCGTAAACATTGCCGGGGACACCTGAGCCTGCGAACCCTCATCTCGACGCGCGGGGTTTCCAGTCGCACTTTAGCTGAGGCCTGGAGGTTGGAGTCCTCGTGGAGACGCCGTCTTTTTCCCCGCCATCCTGTGGTGTTGGGTCCTCGTCGTGGCGAAACGGTCCCCGCGTGTCCTTCTCCTCCTCTCGTGCCCTCACCCCCAGTGAGGGTACAGCGTGCGACTGCCACGCTCAACGCAGCGTTCCGCGGCCCCGTTGGGAGCTCCACCGAAGGGCAAAGGGGGGGGGGGGGGGGGGCACATGCGTCCGCCACACCCAGCGCAGCGCTTCGTGGGCCCATAGGGCGCTCCACGTAAGGCCCCAGAGGGGGGGGGGCCACATGAGTCTGCCACACCCAGCGCAGCGTCTCGTGGCTCCACTGGGAGCTCCACCGGAAGCCCCATTGGAGGGTGGCCACATGCGTCTGCCACACCCAAAACAGCGCTTCGCGGCCCCATAGGGAGCTCCACGCAAGGCCCCAGGTGGGGGGGCGTGCCACGCGCGCCCGCCACGCCCAGCACAGCGCTTCGTGTCCCCATAGGGAGCTCCACGTAAGGCTTCAGCGGGGGGCACCACGCGCGTCTGCCACACCCAATACGGCGCTTCGGGGACCCATAAGGAGCCCCACTAAGGTTCCAGCGGGGGGGGGGCCGCACGCGGCTGCCACACTCAGCACAGCGCTTCGCGGCCCCATGGGGAACTCCACCAAAGGCCCCAATGGAAGGTGGCCACATGCGTCTGCCACACCAGATACAGCGCTGCGTGGCCCCATAGGGAACTCCACGCGAAACCCCAGGTGGGGGGGCGCACCACATGCGTCCGCCACACCCAGCACGGCGCGTCGTGGCCCCATAGGGAACTCCACCTAAGGCCCCAGTGGGGGGTACCACGCGCGTCTGCCACACCCAGCACGGCGCTTCGCGGCCCCATAGGGAGCCCCACTATGGCCCCAGCGGGGGGTAGGTACCACATGCGTCAGCCACACCCAATGCGGCGCTTCGTGGCCGCGCAGGGAGCCCCACCTAAGGACCCAGTAGGGGTTGGCCACACGCGCTTGTCACACCCAGCAGCACAGCGCTTCGTGGCCCCATAGGGAGCCCCACGTAAGGCCCCAGAGGGGGTGGCCACATGCGCCCGCCACGCCCAGCACAACGTTTCGTGGCCAGTAGGGCCGCCCACATGCGCCCCCCCCTTCCCCCCCCCCCACACCCCCAATTTGGCAGCTCCACCCACCCAGTACAACGTTTCGTGGCCCCGCAGCTCCACCGAAGCCCCCAGTGGGACCGCCCGCGCGCGCCCCCCACCCACTCTCTCTCTCTCTCTCTCTCTCTCTCTCTCTCTCTCTCTCTCTCTCTCTCTCTCTCTCACTTTGGCACTTTCACGCGCCCAGCACAGCGTTTCGTGGCCCCACCGGGAAGCTCCACCGGCGGCCTTTGCGCCACCGCCCGCACGCCCCCCCACCACACACACACACACCCAGCGCAGCGCTTCGTGGCCCCAGTGGGAGCTTCACCGAAGAAGATATTCACAATTGCGGCACCCACAACTTCATATGGTTGAGTCCTTCGCCAAGATACTTGTTTCCAGAAACACCTCCCAAAAGCATCTTTGCACGCGCCCCGAGGAAGCTACGGGCGGATTCCCAGACCTGTGCCCGCGTGGGCCCATTCTTAAAACAAAACACTTCAGCACCACTATAGCACGCATGCAGAGGCCACGCTGCCTTTGAAAAGGGCCGTGTTCAATGAAAAAAGCCACGTCGCCGATCCAGAACTTGAAGAGATTGCACCAGGCCGCCCTCCCGCTGTCAATCCGTACTCCGTCTCGAAGAGGGCGAGCCTGGAGTGAACGCGAGGCCCCATGTACCTTGCGAAAGCCGCTGTATTGCCATCTACACATAGTTATCGAGGCAACTCAGCCTCGAGGCTACCTGAGCTCTGACCCGATTAAATAGTATATGTATATGTATGTATTACCCCGCTCGCTGACATTCTGAGCCATCATCACCCCCGCCTTCCTGCCACTGATCACCTGATTCTGATAAGCACCAGCCGCCGCAATGCTGTCCGT